TTTTTTTGAAATCGCAACATACAAGAATCATACATTGGCAGGCATCATGCCTTTGGCTCCAAGCCAGGATGGCTTTGTTCGCAGCAGGAAAATCTTTGCAAATAATGCATGCATGTGAAAGCACATTTTCTGGCTCCAGCATGTGTGTTTTGGAGGTGAACAAACAGTCGGGAGACCAGCTAGCAAGTTCTGAACATGTTGGCATGCAAGCTATTTTACGTTTTGCTACAGCTTCTGTAGAAGTACACTGCTTTGCGATGCCATGCAAGCTTGCATTCGTGCATGTATAGGATGTGATGTCGAGCCTTGCTTTAATGCGGGGTCATGGAGGAATGATGCTTGGTATGTTTCTGCCAGCCGTGAAAATGGCTTCAGAAGTTCCGCAAGCATGCAGCATGCTTATTTCTGGACCCGCAAGCATGAAGTTGCTTTGGTGACGGATCCATGTGATTTTGGTACAAGTCTCTGAAGGAGTCAAGCCAGCCCATGGCTTTTGTGTGGAATGAAGCCCAAAGGGGCTTTGTGCCAGTCGCATCTGCAGGAAATGCCTGCAGGTGTACAGAACGAATTCCGGATAGCTTTTGGCTGGTTTCACGAACTCGCTCCCCCGCCCCCGTCTTGCTTTGCCTTGGAAGACCATGGCCGGTGCTTGCCCCCCCGCAGTCGTGTCCATGGTGAAGTCCCTACTTCAAAGCGACTTGCCCATGCTCGAGAAGATGCAGCAGCTCACGAAGACGTTGAAGGCACACAATCTTGCATGGACGCAAGACATTGCTCCATCGGCCTGTTTGGTTCACCCCTCGAACCGTGCGGGACAGATGCTGTCCGTCGACGATGTCTGGAACAAAGGGCTTCGCATGGTGTCGCTTGGGGTGCAGCGTAGCCTTCTCCAGGGCTCGGTATGCATTGAGATTGCTCACGACGTTGGGAAGAAAACAGAGCAGCTGGAGGCCAATCGCAGGCTGGTTGCGCTGTCTCACGGGCAGCTCGCCCCGGTGAAAGGAGATGAACGATTTCTCACCTTGGGGACGAGCCATACAACTGCCTTTTTCAAGGCGGTGGAAGCAGGCTGCCAGTGTGGTGATGCGAATGTGCATGTGAAGCAACTGGAGGACGTCCTTTCCGGATGGCCTTGGTTAGTGCTCTCATCTTTGGTGGAGCAGGCCTGCCCAGGGGTGCCTCTGTTCTATCAGTTGGCGAGCAATGCATCTGGTTCTGGGCAGAAGCAGGTGAGCGAGGTAGAAGCTGCCGGACTCATGGCGATGAGGATCAAGAGTGGTGCTTCTTTGGAGTCTTCTGTTGCAGAGTTAAAGCAAGCGGATCCAGCCTGTCGCGGTAGTTTGGATGCTATTAGCCACTACGTGTCACGATACGGAGGAGGCGAAAGCATGGATCTCATGATGTTCCTTGTGGACTTCAGCCAGTTGGCTTTTATATGCTTGCTTTCAGGCATTTCTTTCATTTCTGTCTCACAATTGTTTCTTTGCTTTTAAAGCATGTGCAGAAGGCAAGTCCTACGGGACCTTGATGATCGGCACGGACGTGATGAAAACGCTCGCTTTCTGCGACTTCAAGAACCCGAACACAGTGTACCCTTTCGCTCGCTTGGCGCTGCTGCTGGAATCGCATGTCAGCCAAGTTTCCTTCGTAATAAATATTCTTTCCGGTTTCAAGAGCTGGATTTCTGCATCCTTGCCTCGGTTTTCACTGATTGAAAGTTGCAGTTGGTTATTAATGCTTCGTTGCTAAATGATGCATGCTTGGATTTTTGTATTTTGTGTTTAGGATGCTCCTATTTCCTACAAATGCAAGTTGGAGTTTGGTATTTATGCTCCGTTCCTAAATGATGCATGGTTGGATTTTTGTATTTTGTGTTTAGGATGCTTGTATTTGCTAGAAATGCAAGTTGGAGTTTGGTATTGATGCTCCGTTCTTAAATGATACACGGTTGGATTTTTGTATTTTGTGTTTAGGATGCTCAGAGAAGGTTCGCAACGATGCTTTCCTCACCGAAGCAGACCGACGGGTTTCAGAAGATCGTCAGTGTGTCGGACATTCAGAAGCTCAAGACGCAAGCAATGCGCGACTTGCTTGACCAGTTCGAGACCTTGGTGAAGGATTCCTGGGAGTTGTGCAGCAATGCCCACGTGACCGGGGCATCCTTGGAGCGAGTGTTCGGCAAGCTGTGTGTGAGGGCGGCTCTGTTTGTCTTGGGCAAGGACAAAGCGTTGGGAGAGAAGCATGTCTTCGCGGACTTGCCAGAGATCGCATGTGCTTTTGCGGGCGAGCTGAAGAAGGGCAGCTCGGAGGCAAGCGGTTCCGGTGGATCGCAGGCAGCAGCAGCATCATCAGCGTCAAGCTCCTCGGTAACCAACGTTTTGGACTGCAAGCCCCAGGAGATGGCTCTCTTGCAGAATGCTCACATGCAGCTGGGGGGCTTGCTACTTGGATGCAAGCCTAGATGGCTTTATAAAGAGGGAATGGCTCTCTTGCAGAATGCTCACATGCAGCATGGGGGGCTTGCTGCTTGGATGCAAGCCTATATGGCTTTATAAAGAGGGAAGATACACATGATGCCAAGTAAAGACATAGGTACACGAATGTCAAAGACCACGGCAACAAGATCTTTGTCTTCACGAAGGCGGACGAGAACGGAGTCTGGATGGAACACGATCCCCTCTTGGCGCCCAAGGAGACCGTTTTCGTTCACTTCGGGCTCCTGCTAAAGTGGCGCAAGTTCAAGGGACAGGCCCCAGCCTTGTGCCCACCCTCCATGGTGGAGATGAAGATGGTGCATGAGAGCAGTGCGGTTTTGGATGAGTACAACAAAGCCCAGATGCAGCAGCTTTTGCTTGACAATGCCTGGAACAAGAAGGTTGAAGCCAAGGACCTCGCTTTCACTTCCTTCCCTGCCATGGTGCATGCGATGAAGAGCTACAAGAAGGCCGGCGACTTGGAACTCTGGCCATGGGGTACCGTGACCAAAGTTCGTGCAGGCAAGCCCGTGCCAAAGCGGCTGCATGCCAAGGGCTTTGGGTGCGATTGGATGATCCAGCCTTTCAAGGCTTTGAACCAGGCGGACTTTACGAAGATGCCGAATGAGGAAGGCGAGGGAGTCCTGGCCCCTTTCTTCTGGGTCAAGGAGACAAAGGATGCCGATGCAGCCAACATGCACATTCACGTCTTCAAGAAGAACGGCAATAGCTTCCCTGTTCTGAAGAACAAGCGGCCCATCAAGGAGTACGAGGCTTTGACGTACTGCGAAGAAGAGCCTGCAGAGGGACAGGCGAAGAAGAAGGCCAAGAAAGAGTGAAGCATGTAGCAAAGGTATGCTTTCATGCTCGATCTATAAGATGCCAGCGAGGCATGGTTGGATTTTCTTGTCAGTCTAGGCCTTTCGGCGCTTTTGCTTTCCGCAGCCTGGTTGGCTTTTCTTGTCAGTCTAGAGGCCTTTGGTCGACTTTGCTTTCCGCAGCCAAGCGGGTGTTTGCCAGTTTTGTTTTCCACACATGTTTGCTTTGGAAGCATGCATGCTTCAGGCAGCACCTCGTCCATTCCTGCATTTGAAGAAATGAGTGCTTGCATCATGCATATGCATACTTGAAGTTTCGCATCAGAAATGCAATGACTGCTGTGCATATGTCTGTGCAAGAGTGAAGCACATGATGAAGCATGATTGGCATCGCTTCGCAGTCTTTTCAAGTTCGAGCCTCGCTGCCTGCCTGCTACATCATGGCCCGCAGCAGAACACCACCGAGGCGAAGATCGGAGCCTGCAGCCGAGGAGACGAATGCGGAGCAACACCCTCCCGAGCGATTTCGTGGTAGCAGATCCCCCAGAATGCGGAGTGAATGGCGTTGGTGTTGGCGCTTTTCCGAAGGCACCTGGTGGTGGCAGTGGTGGATTCACCGAAGGTGAAATGCAGAGGCTCATCTACCGTGGCTGAGAGGGACCACGGCTGCTTGCTGTTGGCAAGCTTTTTCCAGATGCAATCACAATTTGCGTGCTGGACGAATTCATTCTGCACTTGCATGCTGGAGAAAACAAGTGCTTTGCAAATGCTAACTGACCGACATCGTTTCCTGAAAGCACAGAGTTGTGCTTTTCTGCAGTGTTTATGGACACGTTGCAGGTGTTCAGTCTGTAGTTCCTGCAGCAAAGCAGGATATACCCATACTTCTGCAATTTATCGACAGCCCAAGGGCTTTTTAGACTGTGCTTTAGCCAGCTTATAATGCTTTCCTGCAGTGTTTCTGCATTATTTTGCACGTGTCAGCTGTGTAGCTTCTGCAGGAAGGCAAGATGTCCAAATACTTCTGCAATCTATCCCCAGTCCAAGAGCAGATCTTGCAATACTTCAGCTGTCTAGCCGGCCCAGATCTATAGCTTTTGGAAGCCTGCTCCGTGTTGCATGGCTGTGACGGTCGAGAGGAAGCCTTGCATCCGCTTCAAAGACGGCCGCTTTTCGTTGCTGCCGGACAGCTTGCTTGAGAAGCACGGAGATGAGGACTTTCTTCGCTTAAGGCCGACGAACCAAGTGCTCCTCACGGTGCTCTATGGAGAAGCTCCGCCGAAGAATGCCTCAATTTCCTCAAGCTCTGCTTTGAAGAAGCTTTTCCAGCTCCGCAAGAAAGCTTTGGATGCCAGAGACCAAGGGGAGGATGCAGCCGAGGCGGCCCCGCCGCAGTCGTTG